CCCAAGCCGCCTCACGGTGGCCCTGCGGAGGGGGGCACCCCACCCACACCTGTTCCACTGTGTTTCTCCCAAGACTGGGAACGGGTGGGACAGGCTTCCCTAATTTTCCTTCGCCACTGGAAGCTGCCCGTTAGGAGTGGCCGTCCCGCCATGGAAACCCTCCTCGCAAGCCCCGGCCTTCCCCACATAAACGCAGAAGGCTGTTCGCGAGGCCCGAGGCCGGTCCACTGCAGAGCCGAACCGGGCAGACGGGCCGGCTCCCGGGACCACCCCCAAAAACGCGTCTCCCAGGGTAGGAAGCTGGGCCTTGAAGCTCGGGCAGCGCAGAGGTGGGAAGAGGTGCGGCCTCCTGGGAAGGGGCTCTGGCAGGCTGGACCCCTTTTCGCCTCTCCAGGCACCGCCGATCCCGCCAAGAGGGTGATCAAGTCTGCCCACCGCCAGGCGCAGGGGATCTGGGGCCCATCCGCGGATCTCTCAGGAAGGTGGCTATAAAAAGAGCCCTGCCCGGAACACAGGCGTTGGAGAGCGGAAGAATCTATCTAAATAAACATTTGGAATTGGGTGGCTGCTTTCAAACCCGGAGGTCTGGGGCCTCTGGACCGAGGAAGGCGAGCAGACGTCCACAAGGGTGTAAAATTCCCGCCGTCACCGCTCTGGCCCAGGTGCCCTCTCCAAGCCCGCCCTGGAGCCTCCTCCTGGCCTCGCGGCCGCGGACGCATTTTCTGTCATAAATAAGCATCTCTAGCTTGGCCTCTGGGGCGCTTCCCCACACAGGCTCACCCCCTAGGCCTCAGCATGCAGTGCCCACCGCTGTCTGGAAAGGCCTCTCGACACACACGTTAACTTTGGACCAAAGCACAGACTGGACAGGGCGGCCGCTTTGCGTCGGAGTTCTGCTGGGCTGGGGAAGGAAGGGCGGCCGCGGGGCCAGAGGTGCCCGCGAGGGGAGGCTTCAGAGGGCCACCAACAGGGCGGGTCTCTCCGGTGGGTAGTTGGTTTAGTCTAAGCCATTTCGTGTAAAACCCACGCGGCAGGGGAAGCACGCTAAGAACATAAAACGTAAACCGCAATAATGAAGAGATTTCCTAGAATAAAACGCCGATTACAGGACAAAATCAGAGAAACCCAGGCTTCCTGAAGTTTACATTCCCCTGCGCTGGAGCAGGGGCGGGACCTTGGGGTTTGCAGCAGAAAGGAATCCGTGGCCCAGATGGAGACAGTCTACCCGAGGGGTCAGCTCAGGGTATTTCTGAGAAATACAGGGGCACCCCCCAGTATTTCTGGTTGACTGAGGAGCGCCTGGCCAGATCTGCAGTCATTTTAAGGAACCATACCTTTCCTTCCCATAAGAAAGAAGTCAAGACTTTTGTTGTTTATAAGACAGTGAAAGTCAATCAGGAAGAACTCCGAGACAGGGCAGCCTCCTGAGTAAAACTATTTCACAGACAAGCACAGCTTTTTCCTTCTCAACCGTCTCCCACGCAGAAATTCAGGTATTCCTGCCAGGGACAGAGAGTTTGACATAATCGGTTATCGCATGCATTCTCACCCAGGAGATCTGTATAAATCAGTAATTAAAACAAACTTCTGAGACTTTGTTTTGCTGCCCCATAGTGGAAGCAGCAGTGGATGGAGACCCCAGACCTGAGCTGCAGGCCAGCTCTGTCACTTGCCCACGTGTGACTTTTGGCAAATCGTCTGACCTTTCTGAGCCTCAGTTTCCTTATCCCTAAAGGGGAAGGTAGTGAGACCACGTGGCGGTCACATGATATGAATGTAAAGGCTTATGCCTGTGAAATCTACAAGGAACAAATTTCTAGACTTGAGGGGTCTCTGCCAGGGGAACAGTTTCCACAGGCAGAAGGGGGGGTCTCCAAGAAAGTGGTCTGAAGAAGGGCCCCTTCCTGCTCAGACAGCTAAGAAGGGCACCGACCTCCGGACAGTCCTGGAGTACAGGGCAGCACTAAGACCTCTGTGGAGAGGGGCTGCAGGTCTGCAGACCTGCTCTCCAAAGCCTCTACTGCCTTTCCAGGACCTGCCCGGTCTTCTGGAAGACTGCCCAAACTATAAGTGGGCATTTCTTGCAAGTTCAGAGGGTTTAGGTAAAATGGATACCACTGTCACTTGGATGGGAAGGGAGATTTTTTTAAATCCTTGATCACTGAATCAGATAAACTGGTAGAAACGAAAACTGTATAGGGTTTTTGGGTTTTAATGAGTATCTGTGGACCCCCTAAAATCCCAGGCAAATTGAGAATATTTTCTTTCTGGAGGAAGGCTCCATAGCTTCCATCATATTCTCAAAAAGACTGGGAACTACTGGTGTGTAAGGTTATTACTAGCCCTGCCTGGATTTTAGGGTCAGTGCTTTTTATTCTTCACTCTCTGGGTCTGAAAACCTTTTAGCGCCTGAGATCCAGGCCCTAGAATTCCCAGGTGCAGAAAATCAGAGAGGGTCCAGTGCCAGCAATATGTCCACTTGCTGGATTTTTCCCAGATCCAGTGCCCACCACCCCCATCTCCAAATGAGATGATTGCCTTCCTGGTCCCTCTGCTTCCCAGCTGGGCCAGTTCTCTTCCCACTGCTTGCGCGCGCACGCGCGCGCGCGCGCGCGCGCACACACACACACACACACACACACACACACACAGAGAAGTCTGTGTCAGGGGAGCTCCTTTCAGATATTTCCACTTACAATTAAGTTATTCCCTGTAAAATGACAAAAGGGGTAAGAGAAAAAATACCATGAAATTAATGGGGCCCTATCAAAAAGAAAAAAAAATAAAGCTCACCAGTCACTCAGAAAGGAATTCTTAGAAGTGGAAACAACTGCAAACCCCCTTCCCCAACTCAACCAAAACATCCCATCCGGAAAAGAGCGGCTTGTTTCTTTTTTCTATTGGAAATGAGCAGTAAACTGAGTTCATTTGGGCCGTGTTTTCTTAGCTGACTCGCAGCTACAATCAAGCCATTTTGGGACACATTCCCATGTAGGTACCAGGGGTGCTCTGGAGGAAGCTGTCGACGCCTGTTCAGCTAATTTAGGTTTTCTTTGTCTAATTACAGTGGAGCTTAGGGAAAAGGAGCCGGGCTCAGGGCAGTAAACTGACACTCGGTCTCTGTGTGTGGTATCCAGGCAGGGTTTGATGGAAAAAGCCTGCTTCCACTCAACTTCAGGTCACTGTCTGGGGCCAGCCCAACCCAGCCCCCAGCCTCCCCCTCGCACCCCTCGCACCCCTCCCTCTCCTGCCCCACCGGCACACCCGACCAGAAGCAACCCCAGCACTCCTGGGCACGCAGAGCGGGTGCAGCCCCAGGGCCTGCCCCGGGCCTGTTCCACCCGGGGGCTCTGGCTGCCCCCCTCTCCAGACCTGGCGCCCTCTCCCTTTCTCCCCGCCCCCGCCCCGACTCCCCAGCCTGCCCAGCGCACGCGCTTGCACCCCGGTCCTTTCTGAGCAGCCACAGAGGGGCGCCGGCCCCGCCGCCCCTGTGGTCCGCGGTCCGCAGCGCCTCCCCCGGGGGCCTCCCGCATCAGCCCCGTGCGGCCCCGGAGGCTCCCAGGCCTCCTGCTCTCTTCCCACTTCCAGCCCCGTCCCTGGTCAGACGACGTCTCCTCGCACGTGTAATCCAATAACCAACTGTCCGGTCTCACCGGGAGTGATTCCTCCGAGGGCACAGCCTCTCTCCCAGCCTGACTCTCACTTAGACGGAGAGGACCCAGGCACACTGGGTGGGGTGTCGTCCCACGGAAGCCAGCCTCGAGCTGGCAGGCTCGCTTGGGTGGGCGGCACGGGGCCTGGGGGTGTAAAGCCCGTGACAGCTGCACCCCCCTTCAGGACTGAGCACAAATACAGCTATCTCACTCCTGTCACTCAGCGCGGCCTTCTTTCTGCATTCCGTACAAAACATCAAATGGCAAACGGAAAGGAAGGGGAAACAAATGCAAACAGGAGTCCTATTCGACCACGTTTCCAGGGTCTCTAAAGAGGAGAGTCTTTAAGCAGCCTGGCCTCTGCCCTCTGCTAACAGCGGCGGGAGCCCGCAGGCCCGTCACAGGAGAGAGGGTTGGCACGTTACCTTTGGGCGTCGCGGGCACCCCGGCGTGTGGCGGAGGCGGCAATGTCTAAATGAGCTGACAGACGGTGTCAGTGCGGGCGCAGGGGCAGCGGCTAAGGAGGTCTGGCGACGGCACCCGCGGCAACACCACTCGGCCGGCCCAGGACCGGCCGGGAGGAGGAGGGGGAGTGAAGATTACGTCCTCCACAAAACAGTCACTCATCACCCCAGTTTCTCTGGGTCACATACCTTTAGAAAAGTCATCATAAAGTGTATGTGTGTGTGTATGTGTATGTGTGGGTACACACGCATTGCCGTTTATGTGTGTTGTTGGTGGCTGTTTAATTATCTACACTAAGCTTTATCCTCAGAAATTATTAAGATAAGTGCTGTCTTTATTTTCTATAACTGTAATATATGGTACTTGCACACACGAAGCACTCAGTGTATTTTTGAATGAAGGAGTGCATTCACTCATAAGCCAATAGTGTTATATTGTGTAGTCTTCACATTTCGTCTATCAGAACCATTAATTGCAACATTTTACTGTTTTGTTTTGTTTTGTTTTTTTCAGAAAAATTGTAGATCTCTCCTAGGCTCCTCAGACTTCTTTTTCCCCTTCCTCTTCCAGTTCAGTCCAGTTATCTGTCTTCTCAGGAATGTTAGAACTTATTGTGCGAGTCACAGTAACTACCAGGAAATGTGGATCCTGATTTCTATAAAATTTACGTCAACATTGCGTGACACAGGAGACACAAATGTTTGGAAAGTGAGAAAATGATGGAACCAGTCTCCATGATTAAACCACTATTTTCCTACTCATTTTAACTTCCTTGTCAAAAAGTTGTGCCGGTGTATGTTCAGGTACACATCACTTGAATATGGTAAAGGAAAATGTTAAAACCGCTTTTCCCCGCCGCCGGGCCCCGCTCCCGGGCCCCCGATGACCTCCGAGGGCGGGCCGCCGCCGGCCCCGCTCCGCCGCGCCCGCAGCCCGGGCCCCGGCGCGCTGCAGGCCGCCCTGATGAGCCCGCCGCCCGCCGCCGCCGCCGCCGCCGCCCTGGAGGCCGCCTCGTCCTCGTCGTCGTCCGCCTCCTCCTCCGGCGCGGCCGGCGCGGCCCCGAACGCCTGCAAGAGCGCGGGCGGCGGCGGGGGCGCGGGCGGCGGCGGCGCGGGCGCCAAGAAGGCGAGCTCGGGGCTGCGGCGGCCCGAGAAGCCGCCCTACTCGTACATCGCACTCATCGTCATGGCCATCCAGAGCTCGCCCGCCAAGCGCCTGACGCTCAGCGAGATCTACCAGTTCCTGCAGGCGCGCTTCCCCTTCTTCCGCGGCGCCTACCAGGGCTGGAAGAACTCCGTGCGCCACAACCTCTCGCTCAATGAGTGCTTCATCAAGCTGCCCAAGGGCCTCGGGCGGCCGGGCAAGGGCCACTACTGGACCATCGACCCGGCCAGCGAGTTCATGTTCGAGGAGGGCTCGTTCCGCCGCCGGCCGCGCGGCTTCAGGCGGAAGTGCCAGGCGCTCAAGCCCATGTACCACCGCGTGGTGAGCGGCCTGGGCTTCGGGGCCTCGCTGCTGCCGCAGGGCTTCGACTTCCAGGCGCCCCCATCGGCGCCGCTCGGCTGCCACGGGCAGGGCGGCTACGGCGGCCTCGACATGATGCCCGCGGGCTACGACGCGGGCGCCGGCGCCCCGGGCCACGCGCACCCGCATCACCACCACCACCACCACCACGTCCCGCACATGTCGCCCAACCCGGGCTCCACCTACATGGCCAGCTGCCCGGTGCCCGCCGGGCCGGGGGGCGTCGGCGCGGCCGGGGGCGGCGGCGGCGGCGGCGGCGGCGGCGGCGGCGGCGGCGGCGGCGGCGGCGGCGGCGGCGGCGGCGGCGGCGGGGACTACGGTCCGGACAGCAGCAGCAGCCCCGTGCCCTCGTCCCCGGCCGTGGCGAGCGCCATCGAGTGCCACTCGCCCTACACCAGCCCCGCGGCGCACTGGAGCTCGCCCGGCGCCTCGCCTTACCTCAAGCAGCCGCCCGCCCTGACGCCGGGCGGCACCCCCGCGGCCCCGGCCGGCCTGCACACCAGCATGTCCACCTACTCGCTGGAGCAGAGCTACCTGCACCAGAACGCCCGCGAGGACCTCCCAGGTAACACGGGGCCTGGCCCGCCGGCGCGTCGCCTCTAGGCCTCCCCGCTCTGGGTGGCCGAGGCCCAGGGGAAGCTGGCACCCTATGGGGGGTGGGGGGTGGGGTCGGGGTCACTGGGCCTTCCCCGACAGGCTTGGCCCCTGCCGGGCCTCCCGAATTTTCACCCCTAGGAGGATGGAGTCAAGTGCCTGCGTCCTCGGGCTCTCCGAGTGTCCTCAGGGACTGCAGGGCTCAAATCTCAGGCCTGACTTAGCTTAGGGAGAAGCCTTGTGGCCTTAGGGGACCTTGGCCAAGGCTCTGTGGCTGCTTTCTTGCGTCGTTTTCTCAAATTGGTTTTGCTGTGCTTTCACCCAAAAGTACGTGTCCAGAAGGGAGATGCTCGGTACCTGCCGTGTGCGTGGGGAGGGGCTCCGCTGGGCGAGGGTTGAGAGGAGGGGAAAGGAGGGAGGGACGCCAGGAAAGCAGAGGGGTTCCAGGACCCTGCACAAAAGGGCAGTGTTGCCAGGGAGGAGAGGCGCCAAGCGGTGGAGGATTCTCCTGCCTCCCCCCACGGTGGACCCAAGTTGATGACACATGGGTCCGGCCTAGGCCAGCAGCACCTGGGGCCCGCAGCGAGGCTCCCCTGAGAAACGCCTGCCCGTTGGGCGCCCCTTGTCGTGTTGATGGTGTAAATTGTACTGGTTGCAGATTATGAAAATTTATTGACTCGCCCAAGGCGGTGAAAGGTGGGAGGGGACAGATGGGGGTGGAGGAGGGAATTTGAATATTTAGCCAGGTTTATGGGGACAGTGGAGATAAACCCTTACATTAACCCCTGGGAGGCAGGCTGGTCTGCCCGGCAAGCGGGGACTCTAGCTGACACTCACCCGCCCCGATTAGAAAAGGGTTCGCAGGACGACGACGACACCTACATTACATGTTCGTGCATCGGTGTGGGGCAGAGCGTCAGGGAGAAAGGAAGTCCAGAAATGGGCGAAAGATGTTGGTTCCCTGGACGGTGAAATTTCCCAAATAGGCCTTTTAAATGCGGGTCTCAGAGGTTAACTAAACAAAGACAGTCTGGGCAGGACCACACCGGAGAGGATTTTAGCCTGACTTAACCCACTGAGAGCGAGTCTTGTTCAGTTTTATGGGAATTTCAACAAGTAACCAACACAGACGACCCTCCCCTCTTATTGTTTTTTTATCCCCCTGGGACGGGCTGTCAATCACCTCTGAGCCCTGGCGGCGCGCTCTGCGCTCTCCCGCCCATCCGCTCCCCTCCCGGCTCCCCATTCCGCGCTCCCGCCGCCCTGCTCAGCCGCAACCGGGACTCCCAGGCGGGTCCGTGAAACTTCCGCGGCTGCCGTGAAACACTTCACGTTCACTCAACGTTCAGAATCGCGCAGAAAGAGCCTTCTGACCGTTCTGTGAGGCCGCCCTCGCCCCACGCCACACACCGGCCGCACGCACGGGTCCCAGAAGCGCGGGGACCCGGGAGCACGACTCTGTCTAGAGGAGAAGGGACACTGCCTCGCCGGCCCCCCCGGGAGCTCGCGCGCCCTCCGGACCGAGTCTGGGAGCCCCGAGGAGGCCATGGCCCGGCCGGGACGCTCTGCTTCTCCCCAGCCCCCAGCCGTGCTCTGGCTCCCGCCCCCTCGAACGCT